TAATTATCATTTATTTTTGACAATTCAGACTTGGAAATCTAAATACATTTGGGAAGTCCGTCACTCAGGACAATTCCATGTCCCCATTTTTCTTCTTCATCTCTTCCAGAATCTCCTTTATTTCAGTCTCGGATACAATCTTCCCAACTAATAGCTCAAAAATAAAAATCCCGGATGGTTCATTGAATTCTCTGTGAAGATATTTGTCCCTGTTTGTTATAAAGTGGAAAAGTGGAAGAGATACAGGAAAGGGGCACATATGCAACCTGTATAAATTTCTCTGCTCTTTGATTTTAATATTTAATTAATTTCATGGAATTACATTGCTAATACTTCCTAATTAGGTCAACAGGTGAATTTCGCCATTGTTCTTCTTGTCTCATCAAAAATCATTTGTTTAAGGAGCTGTACAAGGTATCTTACAAACAGGGTTAGACAAGAGTTTTAGTACATTCTATAAACTGGATTCTGTATGTTTGTAAATTATGCTGACAGGCACTCCTATAACACAATGAGGTCAAAACAATCTCACCGAAAATGGTCTTTTCGTGCTATACTCAAGCCAACAAAAAAAAGAGGAAAATGATCATAAAAGCACCATATTATGTGTACAGAAGAAAGTTGTTAAATTCAATCCAAGACAATGGATGCTTTTCAGCTAATCTTAAAGGGACTAAATGAAATAGATTCTTTAAATGTATAGCAACAGGACAATAATTAAAGATGTATTTATGAAGAAACTACTGCATGAAAAAAATACTATGTTACATGCTATAAAGCATAACATAATTATTAAGATACAGTTAATGATTTAGAGGGCTTGCAACTCAAAAGAGGGGCCAGGATATGCATGCAATTAAATGGAACAAAACAGAACATAAATGACATGTGTTTGAGGCAAAGTTTAGCCTGAAAGAATATAGCTGGATTGAATAGATCTACTAAAATTTAACTCACTCATTCAGCTGCTATTGATTGAGTAGCTACTAGGTGCTCTTCTCAACTAAGGGACACTGATATCTGCAAACTAAATTCTTGACCACTTTTCAGGATACAGGGCAGAGAATGGAAATGTGTGGAATGTGGAAAAGTGTCAGCTTTGGAGTTAGAAAAACCTGAATCAAAACCCTATCAACTATTCATTGGGTGACTGGGGCAAGTAATTTATAATCTCTTAGTTTCGTTGCAGAAATCAGAAGATCATCTTTGATTGTCTCTTCCAACCTCATCCTATGTATAGTTCAACAAATTAGTCTTTAAGTATTTCTTGGATACACTCCATCGTCTCCATCCCCACATCCCTAATCCTAAGGTTGGCTCTCCTGATTGCTTATGGATTCTGTAAACCAAATTTGCTTTCTATCTCCATATCATTCTTTTTCAATCTATCATGCATGTTGTAACCAGAGCAATATTTCTAAGACTTTTACCTCACTACAATGCTCCTCTGCTCAAAATTCTTTAGTTACTTCTCATTGTCTAGAAGATGCAAGTCTACACGTCTTAATAAGGCATTTAAGACTTTTAATGAGCTGAACTCTGCTTCCATTTTTAACCCCACATGCCAATCTTCCTCCATATAGACCTTACGTTTCTCTGACCACCAGCCTGTTTTGTGCTCTGTGCCTTTGCATACACTACTTTTTAACACCAAAGCCTGAAACATTGCCCCCACCCACACTCCAACAATCCCATCTGGAAAACTTAAAAATTTTAGTCTTCCTTTAAGACTTTGCTCAAACACCATCTCCTTTGAGGAGAATTCCTTGAGAATCTTGGTACAGGTAATTTTTCCATCATCAGTATGTGCACAACATGTTTTATATACCTACATTAGCACAATGCATTCAAATGTCATATTTGTGTATATGCCAATTGCCTCAACAAGACTGAACACCTGAGAGCAAAGACAAGGCTTTTAACCTTTGAATCCTCAGCCCTAACGTAACGTCTACCATGGAGAGGCTGTGCAATAAATATTTATTGTAATAGTGAAGTCATATTTGGGGATCAGTGGAAAGAACCAAGAAATGCTTTGTGGAGGAGGTGGTATATGAGGTTGGCCTTGAGAAACTTCTGAAATAGTTTCTTAATTTTAAAAATGTAACTTTGGGATGTTCAGTGTTTTAACACACATGATGTATACATCTTCATGATTCTCCCTTTAATACATAAGTGTTTTGCCGGTAAGGCTTTGTTTTTTCTATTCAAGGCCCAAGGTGCAGTTGCTTTGAGTGCGATGAAGACTATGTATGTTAATTATCTGATTTAAAGAAGAATCTTCCTCATGTCTTTTGGAAGAAGATATCATTCTGATTCTCCAGCACAACGTGGTATCAAAAGTACTTGACTTTTTAGCTGGGTCATAGATACACCATACCTACTAGCGAATAAAAATGTTGATATTCACTATGTACATTTAATTTCTCCTGAACATATTTAAAATATATAAGTAAGTATACCTTTGATCCATAATGGAAAATACATGAAAGCCCTATGCACCTTACTGCTATTCAATTAATTCCCTCTGGGCAGATCACCTAAGTTTGATTGTAAAAGTAACAACTGGGGCATCATTTCATTCCAAATCATGTGTAATTCAAGTTATCAGTGATGGTTAAACTCTTAGGTATTCCGGCAGATTACTCTCTGTTTTTATGTTCAGTTAGCCACTGTATAGCACATAATTAGTCCTTGATGCAGTGTTCAGTGACTCGTTAGTTAAGTATAACACCCAGTGCTCATCCCAGCACGTGCCCTCCTCAATACCCATCACCCTGTTATCCCCTGCCCCCACCCACCTCCCCTCTGAAACCCCAGATTGTTTCTCAGGGTCCATAGTCTCTCATGGTTCATCTCCCTCTCTGATTTCTCCCCCTTTGGATTTCCCTCCCTTATCCTATGGTTATCCGTGCTATTACTTATGTTCCATATATAAGTGAAACCATATGATAATTGTCTTTGTCTGTTTGACTTACTTCACTTAACATAATCCCCTCCAGTTGCATCCATGTCAATGCAAATGTGGGTATTCATCATTTCTGATGGCTGAATAATATTCTATTGTGTATATGTACCACATCTTTATCCATTCATCTGTTGAAGGGCATCTCGGCTCCTTCCACAGTTTGGCTATTGTGGACATTGCTACTATGAACATTGGGGTGCACATGCCCCTTCTTTTCACTACCTCTGTATCTTTGGGGTAAATACCCAGTAGCGCAGTTGCTGGGTCGTAGGGTAGCTCTATTCTTAACATCTTGAGGAACCTCCATACTGTTTTCCAAAGTGGCTGTACCAACTTGCATTCCCAGCAGCAGTGTAAGAGGGTTCCCCTTTCTCCACATCCTCACCAACATTTGTTGTTTCCTGTTTTGTTAATTTCTGCCATTCTAACTGGGGTAAGGTGGTATCTCATTGTGGTTTAGATTTGTATTTCCCTGATGGCTAGTGATGTTGAGCATTTTTTCATGTGTCTGTTAGCCATTTGTATGTCTTCTCTGGAGAAGTGGCTGTTCATGTCTTCTGCCCATTTTTTGACCGGGTTATTAGTTTTTTGAGTGTTGAGTTTGAGAAATTCTTTATAGATCTTGGATATCAGCCCCTTTATCTGTAATGTCATTTGCAAATATCTTCTCCCATTCTGTGGGCTGCCAGTTTTGTTGACAGTTTCCTGTGCTGTGCAGAAGCTTTTTATCTTGTTGAAGTCCCAAAAGTTCATTTTTGCTTTTGTTTCACTCTCTGGCAGATTTCTTATATGAATTATTAAATGAAATTAACAGAACTTTCCGAAATATTCCATTCTTAATTATTGACTGTTTCCACATAAGAAGATCTGTTTAGTTCTACAGAAGGAAAAATAAAACATCAATACCAATAAAGAAATTATGAATTGCCAAAAGAACTGCAGATGAGAAAGAAAAATAAATCTACACTCTTGCAGTCTGCTTTAGGTACAACTATTCCCTTCATTCCAAACCTTCATATTTACCAACACAAATCTTAATTTTGGTAGCACAGCATGGTTAGAAGCCACGAAAATCGTCTTTGGAGACCTCAGTGGGTTTTTCAAGAAAGCTCTGTGAAGAAACCTCTGATGTCTGTCATCTTCAACTCGGGAAATCCCTGCATAGGAAGAAAGGTATTGGCTAAACTTGAGGATTTCCTGAAGTGTCTAGAGGAAACATTTTTAAGTGGGATAGAGTAGTAGCATCTCACGTATAGCTAAAGACATATAAGCACAATTACATGTGGATTATAACCCACATAGTTATATGTGAATCAGGAATTCAAATTTGGAAGGGAGGGCCGGCTCAATTTATTCCTTCTTCCTGTCAAAAGCTGAAGGGTGGCTCCCAACCTTTGGCTGTCTACACTTCGGGAGTCTTCAGCTGAGTTCTCAGCCTCTAGTTGAGCGTTGACTTGCTCCAGGCCAAGCCAGACATTCATTTTAGCGGCAAACCCTCAGACCCACGCACCTTCTCACAACTCTGCCTTTCTCGGATTCCGAGCTAGAGTGGGCAGAGCACGAGGTACCGAGGACTGGTTCACAAGGGGCGTTTGGGGACGACACTTTCGAACAGCATTTGTAGCTGCCAAGAGTAGCCAACAAGCACCAGATTTATGAGCACTTTGAAAGAAGCACCTTCACCATTGGCTTTTTGAGCGGCGCTGTCGCTAGGGAGCGGCGAGCAGGGCGAGCACAGCCCCAGGAGAAGCCCACGCTGTTTGTTCCTGTAACCCGGGAGAGGGGACGCACACAGTCGGGCGCGCGGACACACACGCACGCTCACGCACGCTCGCGGCGAGTTCGAGCCCCGCAGCCCCCGACTGCCCGAGGGCGCCCCCCGCGTCGCGACAAGCGGAGCAGCATCCGCCCTCTGGCTCCTGCTGCTGCCGCCCAGAGGAGAGAGGAACCTGGAACCTCTGCCTAGAATTTCCCCCGGCGCCGCGCGCTGCGGAGAGCGGCGGAGGTGGGCGCGAGGAGGAGAACGCGGTGAATGAGTTCTCCCCTCGTCTCGGAGTTGACTGAGTTGGCGGCGCCGCGCCCGGGCTTCCGGCTTTCGGCGCCCCACGCGCTCGCGGCTCGCGGGGCTGCAGCCCACGCCCGTGGCCCGGACTCTGCGCCGCGCCGGGGGAGCCGAGGCTCCGGAGCTCCTGTCCCGGCTCCAGTCCGGGAAAAAGGAGGGCTGTTCCCTGGCCGAGGCGCACGGCCGCGCGCTTTTCCCGCACTCTCCGCGGCCCGATCTGTCTCTCCATGGCGTCTCATCAGCAATCCCGGATCCAGGCTTACCTGGAGAAGAACAAGATCGGTCCCCTGTTTGAGGTAAGGCGCCGTGGGTGAGGGCGGTCCCGTTTGTGTTTGGGGGGAAGGGGTTCAGAACACCCGGAGGAAGGAGGGATAGTGAAAAAATGCGCGGGAGGAGGCGGCCGTGCGGCCCCAGTTCATTGGCATTAGCTCTGGCCGGGCCAGGTGTCCTGGAACGCGGCCGGGCAGGCTCCTCGCTGGTTACCTGGGAGCGGACAGGTGAGCTGGAGAGGGCCCAGCCTGTTTGGCAGGGAAGTTTGAGCGGTCTGACCGTCCTGCATCTCGCAGCCTCATGCACAGGACCCGGACAGGCTGAGACGGATAGATGCACACACTTAGACTGTCTTACACATGCACACTTTCTTCCTGGAATTTACCCTATATTGCGTGTTGGATTTTTTTTTTTTTTTAATGTGGGCAATAGTAGAACCCAGAAAGGGGGAAGAGGTGCTTAGCAATGGAGAGGAATATGGTTAACTGGGAGAAAACTGAAGTGGTAAGGAGTAGGCTTCGGTAGGTGCTGGAGCGTTGAATGAAATTGTCAAACTGAGACCCTGACATTGATGTCTGGATGGACGGAGAGTCCTTTGCATTGCAGACCCTACATGTGTTAGGGGGAGAAAGGGGCGGAGGAAGATTCAGGAAAAGCATACACGTATTTATGAGAAGAGACGTGTAGCTCTGAGCTGTTTTCTCTCGCCATCAAAGAACTGTAACAGAAATACAGTAGGAGAAAGGAAGAGCGGGAGGACATGAGAAAAAGAACGGGAGACTGAACCCGGCGCTGGCAAAGCGTCCCGCGGGTAGCCAAGGCGCTGGGCAGACGCCGGTGCCGGCGGGGAGGGACGCCCACGGTCCGTTCCCATCTCGGCTCAGCCGTCAGCTGGGCACTGATAGGAGACGACCGGACGTGGAAGGGTCAAGATACCCCCACCCCCGCAAAAAGGCAGTTGTGGTCATTATTCGGGGTTTACGTGTCCGCGGCGTCGGAATAAGGCTGGAACGCGCTGGGGGGAGAGAGAACCGAGCTGGTTTCCTAGTACTGAAGAGAAGAGAATAACTGCAGAGAAAAAAAATAATGCGAAATAATGCCCTAGCAGAAAAAGGGAGAGAGAGGGGCAGACAGGAATGTGATCAGATATGGGAAGGATGGGTTTCAGATAACTAGATCTCAAGTTTTTCTGCCCAACTTTAAGTTAACGTTGTACTGTCTAGAGAGAGATATGGCCATTGTTTCAGCTGAAACTTATTTTTTTGTAGAGTCATAAAATCCTATAATGCACGTCTTGATTCTTGTTTCTGCCAAAAGTGTTAGCAAAGAAAGTCCATATGTAAAAGCAATGTAGAATTGCTGGAGCGACTAGATTGTTCTTCTTTAGTCTAACGGTTAGAGACTATAAATAATTCTATCAATCAAAAGCTAAAGCGTAACAAGCCTTTGTGACACAGTGTGTTGATTGTGTCAAAAGAAATATTAAAATAAATATTTTCAGAGTGTATTTACTCCCCTAAAATATAAAGTACCATTTACCAGGGAGAACAAGTGAATTGTTTTAATAGATTTATTAACTTATTTTAAAATTCCTGAGACTCTCTCCAAGTGATAATAATAGAGTTTGGGATATATGTAAACTTTCTACATAATTAGGAAATAAATCCAACTTGATTTTTATCAAGTGCTCATTAAAAAAAAAAACTAGCTCACCAGATAGTTCTGCATTGATGAATTTTAAGTGATGGCAGAATTGTTTTCATAAAATCATAAGACCTGCTCACCGAAAACCAAACAATGACAAAATTATATGGTGTGTATTTTATTGATTTTTTGGGGGGGTTACACATTACCTACATCCCCATTAGCTTGGATTGCAGTGATGAGTAGGTAATTTCTGAGGATTGATATGCACTTTAAATAATTGAAGGGAGAAAATAGCTAACTTCTAAAAGCAGGTTCATATGCAAAAATTTTGATCATAACAGAGCTTGGTTTTGAGTAGAATTCTACATACTTCACAAAATTAGAAAATCTCACTAGCTTGTAGCCTCTCTCTCCTCATGCTAGAAAACCAGTGAAACTAGTGTAAAATGGATATTGTTGATCTTGCATTCTCCTCAAAGCTCCCAGGACTTTGGTCAATGGTTCTCATAAGAACTGCTTCAGGAGATCAATCAAGGAGGATCCCAGAAACCTGAACTTAGTAAGAAGTGGCACAAATGATTGTTACATATTTAATTCCTGGACCACATTGTAAGAAACAGTACATAAGTTAAAATCTCTTACCTATCACAGATTGAAATAGGTGACTCCCAAGTTTTATCTGTTCTATGTTGTGATTTTTTTTTTTTGTGCTGAGGCACTGGAGTTGGTGACACAGGCTTACCTTAGTTTTGAAAATATACAAAACCCAACAATATGTTCCCTTTACAGATTTTGTAAGGTAGGAATATTTTGACAGACTTACTGGAGTAAGGCGCTTTAAAGAGAGCACATGAATATTGTTTAAAACAAAAAGCAAATTAACATATACTGGTTGAGAATACTTGTATCCTGCTGTTTTTACCTATACAGCTTAATTACTTAATTTACTTAGTTTATTTCTTAGCTTATTTGCTTATTTCTAACATTTTATCATGTGAGAAGCTTATAAAACTGTACACAGTATTGTATTTCAAAAACTAGATGAAAATTTATCTTGTTTCCAGGTGATTTAAGAGTATAAATTTATATTGCCTTTAAATGATTTAACATGCTTTGAGGCATTACAAAACCTGCTTAGAAATCATTGCATTAGAGTCTTGGGTAATGATATTTTAATTAAATAATATAAAGAAAGTTGTAAGGTGGATAAGTAATAATGACTTATATTCTACAATCTCTTTGAAATTTTTGTGAGATGGAACACTATTAGTATTCTCATTGGCTTATTCAGGACAGGTTAGTAGTGAACAGCCTAGGCATCAATCTTTAAGGAATGCTGGACATCGCTTCAATAAATTAGAACTGTAGTCCTATTTAATATAGATTTCCACATGTAATAACTTACTTAATTAGCAAGATGTGAAGTGGTTTGGCTTCCACCAAAGTACATTTTTTTGCAGCATATATAGGCAAGATTCATGGTGCAAACACAAGACTTATCTCAACCAACCACTTAATAGTTGAGGAACCTGACAGTCAAAAATTCTAAAACTGAATAATTTACTGGCATATATCTGCTTATTGGGATCAAGTGATCTATTTCGTCTATATTGTAAGCAGTTAAACTTCATTCCCAATAAATTATATGATGTGGAACATCACAATAAATTCCTTATTTTCAACATAGAGAAGTATATACTTATCAGCTTCTCCCATTTCCCATGAAATAAACAGAATAATTATTTGAATATTATTGGTTGGAAGGGTGCTTAGGGCAGTCGTATATCTTGGTTTAGGAATGATTACATTTATAAGAGAGTGAAATCCTAAACTATTAAAAGCAGGATAATGGAGCCCCCATTAACTCTCCATAGAATATTTAAATCTCTGTGTATTGAAGATGTGGCAAACCCAATTCACTATATTTCTCCAAATGTGGTCTGAACCACTCCAAGTAGAATGGAACCACTTTATCACCTCTGTATATTTCAAAGTACCTCACTTACATGGGCTAAATTCGTGCTAACCAATTTGACATATATGTTATGAGGTGGACTCATACCAAACAAGTGGTCAACCATCAGCTTGCATCATTCACACACCTATTACTGCACAACTTGTTTTTCTCTGGTACCCTAGCCCACACTTTCCAGCCATGTCTGCAACCTTGAACTCCAGTTGGCCTGGAGATTATCAGGCAGTTGCCTGGCAGGATCAGGAGATTTGTTATGTATGAGGTAGGGGGCTGTGGAGAGAATAAGTAAACATATTGAAAATAATGCAAGCCAGCTCCCTTGCTATTAGAGATGGGAGTCACAAATACAAAAAGGAAAAAATGTAGAACGAACCCTGTGGTGTTGGATTGAAATTGGAAGTATTGGTGTATCTCATGACTTCAAGAATAGAAATAGATATCAATGTAATAGAAGTAAGCATAGATTTGTATGTATTAACATATACATAAGTATATATGCCTGCATTTATTTCCTTACTCTGTCTACTGTGATGGCCTGGGAAAAGCAACACCTCAGTAGCAATGAGCACACCTAGTGACCAGATTTTGAATTCTAAATACCATTCTTCATCAAGTAGAGCCAGGTATCCTCGGAGAAATGGTTGATTCTAGACTTGGGTCTGGGAAAGTATAAGACCTAGACCATCTTATACCAGGAAATGAGGAAGTGGTCAAAGAATTATAGGAACATGTCAAAA